TATGGGGCCTGCGCCCTACTCCTTTGAGCCACAGGCGCTGCCCTACATTTTTTTCTTCTTTTTTTGGCCCCGTGCACAGAAATTCTCCAAAGAGAATGTGAATAGTTTACTTTCCCTACTTAGTTGGTCACAGTTGTCCTTACAGATCATAGAATCCTACATTTGATACCTTTTGGGCCACAGGTATCCTTCAATTCCATCTTCATCAAGGAAGTGGGATGGCTTAATAGGTTTTCTCATCCAGAGGCTGAGACATAGGAGACACTCCCCTAACATAGGGACATGTAACTTGAAGAAGCCTCAGTTCACTTTAGAACAGTATTTTACTAAAAGTGCACAACATGAATGGAATAAGCTCATCGAACTATTTCTAGAAGCCTTGCACATATTTTCATCTTAATGCCAATTGTGACAATGGTCTGATCCTTAATTTTATAGTTCTTATTTGGAAAAAAAAATTTCCAAATATAAAGAAAACCTCCAATATTCTGAGATATGGTTACTTCCTTGGTTCCCATTTGACCACACGGTATTTGTCACTGCTCACTGTTAGGTGAAACAGTTAATGTTCTTAAAAGTGTCTTAAATTATCTGCAGAAAAAAAATAAAGCTAGCTTTTAATTTTGAGGTATTGAACACCCAAGACTGAATTTGTCTCACTTTCATCTCCTCTATATAAAATTGTTCATTTGAGTAAATTTACTGCAGATAATTTTTTCTAGGCTTAGACATTTTTCTCATAATAAAAATTGTTATAATCTTGATTGCCCAGGAAAGAAAGCCTTTATAAGGATTTAACCTTGCATGCAATGCTTTGATCACCTCTTTACATTTTTCCCTTTCCGTAGCCATGACATTTGTAAAAACTAGCTGGGCAGTAAGTACAATCTCAAACAGGCAAACGTTTCAATGTGCTTGCTTCATACTCGGCTAACGCAATATGGGGAAAAAAGTGCAATTCATGAATTATTTTTCAATTTCAATGTTTTTCATTCTCAAATAGATAAACTCTTATTCACTTAAAAATCTTTCTTAAAAGTATCACATTGGCTTTGGTTGCAGTCTGCACTGCACATTTGCTTTGTATTATTGCTTCTTTCAACGATCTCTGCTGAAATATTCCTGGTCAATACTCACAAAGTCATTTATGTCTCAAGTCAACAACTTGACTCCTCAGTTGCCACACTACTTTTATTCTCCAGTAAGCTATTTTTGAAGCACAAGATCATGGGATACCATGGGCTCAGGACTCAGCGAGCTTCCTGTTTTTCTTTGGCTTGACTGCAGTACATTTGCATTGAGAAATACAGACCTAACTGTTGTGTCGATACTTACATCCTCAGGCTTGCATCATTCCTAAGTATTTTGAGATACTGTCAGTGAACTGGAGACATAATACAGTATATTAAAGCATAGGTGACCCCAAAATCTGCATCTCCCAACAGCAGGAAAATGGATTGAGGCTGAGAACAATATTCAGAGTGCTTTAACCTGTATGTATGAAAACACAGACCCTTGACCGTTTGCCCTCTTTGATTAGGTGAAGAGCATTACAGATTCACCAAAACCTTTACAAATGCCTAAAACTTAGCACAGTTCTAGTACTAACACGACACAGATGCAACTCCTTGTCATTGTTACTGTTTACATCTGACAAATACTCCTTGAAACCTGGAAGTGGAGACAAGTCTGTGCTACATACAGGTAGCCTAAAACATAAAAGGACAACAAATTAGGGCTGATTGGTCACATTCTCCTATTTTTAGCAGAATACAAATAGTACCATATTGATGAAGAGGTTATTCTCCAAAACATCAGATTCTCAGTATTTTTTTTAAAAGCGTGAGAAAATTAAACTTTTTTTTTTACAGTTTTTGGCCAGGGCTGAGTTTGAACCCGCCAACTCTGGCATATGGGGCTGGTGCCCCACTCCTTTGAGCTGCAGGTGCGCCCATTAAACTTTTTGAATGACAGTATAGAGGAGACCTAGAGTGATCGGTTTTGTGATGAAAGATGATAGAGGGGAACGTACAGTAACACACACAGAGTAATTTCATTTTTTAATCAGTACAGTTGAAGTTACTAGATAGGTAACAGTTTTCGCTTTTTTAAATTCTCTAAAATCCTTTAGTGGCCAGATTTTCAAAACTTACTCAGCTAAACAGCACGAATGCCTCAAACATATTTCCAAGCATGGTCAGGGGGGCCTTTCTCCTGACTCCTTTTTGGAGTCCTTCACATTGTGTGATGTGCTGTGCCTGTTTCCATAAAGCTTTCACTCTAGCTGTTCAAGATTTCCTGCTAATTGGTGAATAATACTGTTATATGCCTGCTTGAGAATAAGAAATGGGACACTGATTTAAAAATGTGTGTATGCAGGCCATTCCTTAACTGATTTTTACCTTTTTCACATAAGTGACTTTTTTTTTTTTT